ATATGTTTTAGCTTCAACGTGGATTTGTTTAAGCCACCTTAGGCAAAAGACGTTCTACAGCCATACCTTTCTTCCGTAAGTTTTTCCGTAGAGTGGTTCCCGAATCGCGCTTGCCCTAATTAACTCATAATTATAGTCTTATGAAAACAATCATCTGTATAAATACTTTAATAGAATTTGAAAACTATCTAATTGACAACTAAGATTTTCGTCTACAGAACATCAAAAAAGAATGCAATGTGTTCTCGCTTCGCACATCTTGCAATTATTACAAATTGTAGAACACAAAAATACTGGCCATATATTTGGTCCCAAATGGTCGCATCTAGCCTGCATGCTTCTTGGGTGGTATAATGGGTATAGAAGGTTACTTACCTATATTTTATGAATATCTTAAACAATCTATTTTCTCGAATACCTTGAGGGAAAATCTGTTCACAGTTTTATTCCACTATGTAAACTTAGTTTTATATATTCAATACTGTGTCATATCGCTGACTTTCGGTTTTTTCATATAAACTAGCTCGTTCTCCTTTATTAAATCTTTTATCAATGGTTATTAGTTCAGCTCTCTCCGCCTAGTTGTGATATTTTTCCAACACTTGCTCTTGCACCACTATTTTAACCTGCCAGTGTTTAGTATCAAAACGTCGAACTTAATTTCCTGTTTGTTTTCCTAACTAATATCATAATTAACCATCATTTTGTTGGACGGCTTTATATGTTAAGATTGATCTACTTATCAGATAGACGAAAGTAAATGTTAGGAATGAGAGTGACTTTGTTTTTTGCATGAAGTGTCACAGGTTAGCAAATTTCAGAAACAGTTCGAAATTAAGCCGGTAATATTATTGTATCTGAACAGTACTTATTTTGTTGTTTTATTTAAGATCAAAGGTTTCCTCCTCTCAAATGGATATTTTTAAATCTAAATATGGTGGAATTCAGACTTGTCATGTATATCCACAAATCAAGAAATTTAAGGTCACTTTTCATCTTGGACCAACTTTCAGTGATCGTTGTTGCTACATTGACGTGGTGGTCGGGCTTGCCTATCGTGGTGAAACAACCGTTTCTCAAGGTCCTACCATGTCAGACAGGTCGTTTGAAGAGCGGTAAGACTAAAAGCAACAAACCGAAGGCGAAGTCATACTGCTGACTGTACATAGGTGTGAAAGCAGTAAGGTGTTTCCTTCGGACAACCAACATGACAGCGATGCTGCCTTCCCACAAGGAGGAATGGGGTTAAAAAAGGTCGACTCTAAAAATGCAGACCTCGCTTGTCCCACGGATATCCGTCTCCGGCGGTAAGGTCTCAACATGTATGGAGCTAACACAAAAATTACTCACAAAAAGGTCGTGTGTGGCCGACCTCAAGAAGTTGTCCCTTGGGCACTGTGACCACGCTCTCAGGTCATTAAGATCACCTCTAATCTAATTTCCTTTCCAGGTACCTTCAGAAGAACCCTTCCACGGTTTGGGCAACCGGAAAGTTATAACGGCCCTCACATCTCTAACGGCACTGAAGACCACTATATTCATAATCAACTTCTTTCTTCAGTCCCTATTATTCCTCCTACGTCGACTTTCAACACTAAACTTCCTCTTTTGGCTTCCTCCTCAATAATCACCATGGCCAACGATTCTAGTGCGCAAAACAGTCCCAGGTCTACTGAAACCTCGCTCCAAACTACACAATGGAACCTTCAACGTACACATCCTGTCAAATCGACCAGCAGGCGTCCTTGGCTGAGACTCTAGAATCCCGTACAATTGATGTATGCTGTGTCTTCGAAACACGCATATAGGATCCTAGTGTGGTCATTCACTTAACCTCACCTCGGCAAAACGGAGAGCCGACGAGATACACCCTCCGTGTATCTGGCGACCCAATGGCTGGCAGGTGTGGGCATAGCATTAAGTACAACGGCAGAACAAGCACTTTTAGAGTGGATCCCCGTTAACAGTCGTCTATGCGTTGTTCGGCTTAACGGCTCCGTAAGAACTCGAAAGGACAGGGACACGCGTCGTTGCCTTTTCGTCGTTTCTGCCTACGCTCCCACTGACTGCAGCTCGGATGAAGTGAAAGATAAATTTTACAGAAAGCTTTCTGAACTTTTTCAGAAAGCTAAATGCTCAGATATAGTACTTGTAGCAGGTGACTTTAATGCCCAAGTAGGTAGCTTAAACCAAACAGAAGGACATTTAGGTGAGTATTTTGGTATTCCGGCTCAGCGATAAGATAATGGTGATCGTCTGCTGCAACTCTGCTCAGACAATCGTTTATTTTTAGCAATCACAAATTTTAAGCATAAGGAGAGACATCGTCTAACATGGTGACCCCCTTCACCAAACCAATGATGGACTCAAATAGATCATGTTGCCACTAGTCATCGTTGGAGAGGGTCGGTAGAAGATTGTCGCTCATTCTGGAGTACCTGTTTGGACTCCGACCATGCTCTTATACGGGTACGCATCTTCTTGCGCCTCACTGGACGCAGGGAAGCCACACCAAGAAGACCCATTAGAATTGAATTAAGTAATGAGAAGGCTGGAAATAGATTTCAGGAACAACTGAGGTCACACTTAGGTAGTTCTGAAAACGAGGTTAACCCAGATGTTGCTTGCAAAGATATACAAACATGTGGAAACAGCAGTGACATGTATTAGTGATTTAAACCAAAGGGTTACAAAAGCCAATGGATTTCTTCTAGGTCTATTGCACTGATGGATTTTCGTAAACTCATTCCATCAGGCTCTGAACACGATGATGGGCGAAAGCAAATCAGATCTAGGTGAACCTAAAGACTAAAGAACGACCGTGAGCACTGGTGGGCAGCGAAAGCAAAAGAGATGGAAAAGGCAGTGGCTGTAGGTAACACCAGACAGCTCTTCAGACTCATAAAAGAAACTGGAACTAAGAATTGAAGTGTGAGACCGTATCGGAAAAAAACGACGCTCTTATCTGCTCCAAGTCCAGACGTTTAGGATGATTGGCGGAACACTTTAAGGAGCAGTTCAGTTGACCTTCAGCTACTCTAAAGCTACCCACCATTTTCAGACAGTGTGAATGGAACATTGAAGTAGGTCGCCCGACTCTAGCTGAAGTTCATAAGCCTATGGCTAATCTGAAACAAGGTAGGGCAGATGGACTAACTCCGGAGGTCTTTAAGGATGGTGGTCCAATTTTAGCGATTAGGTTGACTAATATTTTAGCTAAAATCTGGGAGTTGGACTTAATCCCACCTGACTGGTCGCAATCGCTTATTGTCCCGATATATAAGAAGGGATCAAAATCGTCTTGTGACAACCATAGAGGGATTAGTTTAACTAATATAGTATCCAAAATTCCAGCCTCAATAATTATCGGACGCCTAACTAAGACTCGCGAACTACAAACACATGAAATCAGGCTGGCTTCAGACCTGGTCGTGGCTGCATCGACCACATATTCACCATTCATCAAGTTCTAGAACACAGACATACTTATCGGCATCCGACAATGGTGGTCTTTCTTGATCTAAAAGCAGCATTTGACTCTGCAGATCGAGAGGTTCTGTGGCAGTGCTTGTCATTGAAAGGTGTGCCTCAGAAGTACATAAACCTTGTGAAGGCTCTTTACTCGAACACTACCAGTCGAGTCAGAGCTTATGGCGAACTGTCATCTGCTTTTGCAACTTCAAGTGTTGTCCGTCAAGGCTGTCCACTTTCTCCATTTTTGTCTAACTTCATCATAGACCTACTGACGGAAATAATATTATCGTCGACTGAATTCTCAGGTATTGATCTCCTTCCAGGAGGTCCACTTATCGACTTAGAATACGCAGATGACATAGTCCTGTTTGGTGAAAACGCTGATAAAACGCAAACTCTTCTGGTAGCACTGAGCAACCATGCCAGAATGTTTTGAATGCGCTCCTCCCCGTCTAAATGCAAGTTGTTGCTCCAGTACTAGCCTGCGTCAACACCTGAACTAAGGATAGGGAGTGAAGTAGTCGAACGCGTTGACAACTTCACTTATCTTGGAAGTCTGATCAGCCCTAATGGGTTGGTATCTGACGAAGTCTCAGCATGGATTCGAAAAGCTCGCTTGGTTTTTGCCAACTTACGTCACCTGTGGCGCAGGCGAGATGTCCGTCTACCAATTAACGAACGAGTATACTGCGCTGCAGTCCGTTCTGTTTTTATTTACGGCTGCGAAACGTGGCCACTAAGAGTAGAAGATATTCCTAAGCTACTAATATTTGACCACAGATGCCTTAGAAATATTGCTCGCATCTTCTGGGATCACCAGGTAAGTAATAGTGAAGTTAGACGTGGGGTATTAGGGAATGATAGTAATGCAGTTGATGAGGTTGTGAATCTTCATCGACTGAGATGGTTGGGCCACGCGTTGTGTATGCCTGAACACCGATTACCACGACGTGCAATGCTAACTGGTGTTGGGGATGGTTGGAAGAAAGTTAGGGGTGGCCAAACTAAGACGTGGCATCAGTGCTTGAAGTCACTAACTTGTAGTCTGAGCCATGTTGGTAGATGCAGACTACTTGGTTGGGGTCCGCGTGACTATCGTAACGAATGGTTGGAGACTGTGTGGCATGGCTCAGAACCGATCACAATGGCGTAGGTGTATACACTCTCTGTCTTCCCTTAAACTATGAGACTAAAATTATTTCATATTTTTCTTTCTACGAACTAATTCTTTCTTCCTGCAATCTTTCCTTTATATATTACACCATTGAGTTGATTGCTTTCATGAATTTGGTGTTCATCTTGTTGTGCTAATGAGGTGTGGTAACTTGGACCGATGCACATATGTGCCTGGTCCTACGTTGTAACTGATTGACTGAATAAAATTTTGTGTTCCTTTGTACTGATAAACGTCTACGTCGCGGTATTTTTTGTAGTGTAGAGTTATTCTCCCATAAAATGACCGATTTATTCATACTAGTAGATTTTGTTTTGTGGATGTTAATGTAACATTGTTCCATGTATTTTAGTGAAGATCATGAAAAGCACGGTTCCTCACGCAAACATCGACGGGATAGCCGCTCACGTTCACAGTAAGTATAATTGGTTTTTATATATGTTCAATATACTAAAGTGCCTCACTGTCTACGGATAAGTTGAGTTTCCGTACAAGCTTTTCCTAAGGCAAACTTTATCAATAAGGGTAAGAGAAACACATCACAAGAAGTTTTTCAGCACCACTCAATACTTACCGTTTTCGTCAGACAATCACATCGTCTCTGTACTACAGGGTAGGGAGGTAAGCTCCAGATTGTAGACTGAGCAACCAAAGTTTAGATGGAAACGGTTAACTTTAGAAACATATCTGAGTCAAAGTATCTGTGTACACATGTGCCAAATTCTGCGTTGCGTTTAACTGACTGACTGACCGATAAAGTATCTATAAATGCGAAGAATGTACGGCTGTAACAGACACTACTTGACGTACTCGATCAAGTAGTAGCTTCCTGTAAGCTGTAGATTGACCAAGTGTTGCAAAAAGGGTCCAGTAAATCATTGTTCTTTGGTACCCTTCTCAATGTTAAGGATTACCACGATCTATCTCGATCGGAAATGCTAATTAATTCTTTCGGACAAATAGATGCTAGTATAGTTACCCATACCTATTGTTTACAACCCATCGATTGCTTTTTATTAAACTATGCATTCCGCGTAGGCCAAGGCACTGTAAACTGTGGTGTACACAGATTCCATGTACGAGATCTATATCTACAAAATGTACGTTTTCAATTTTGGCTTGCGAACTCTGTAATAGTCACGTCACTTGGTAGTACACTTCTTTAAAAATATGTGTAAGTACTAAATTTGTAATACAAAATAATATACTCTTTTTTTATTTCAGTGATAAAGACAAAGAACTGCGCATTCAAATGAAGTAAGATTTTAATGTTTTATTGTTTATCTAATTTTAACGCTACTTTTCTTAGGCCTTTGATGCTTTCTTCAGATAATGAATTAACTCGACAAAATGAGATTAGCTACATCGAAGGTTCAAGTTTCACACAGAAAAGTTTCTCTTCTTCGCGTAAACAAGACACAGTAGGTTTACACTGTACAAAATTGCTTATGGTTCTAAGTTCCATATGACTGTATGACTAAAGAATATTCATTTAAGCCTATCTTGCTGCTATGTAGTTGTTATCTGTTTTTTGCAGCCATTGATCAATTTTTTTTACATTTGATTACTCATCATCAAGATCTATCTGCAACGTTGCAAAAGTTTATTACCTACCTAAGTTCTTAGTTTTGATTGCCCAACTAATAAATCTTGGTAACAGTTAGATTGAACAGCTTTAAATATCCGATGAAACAAAAGTTTCATTTCAAGTCCCTATTAATATATCTAAACAAAATATTTATAGTTGAAACTTCCCCCAGATTATTGCCTACCGTTGAACACCTAAAACGGTGTATCTAAATGTTGATGAACAGTTAGTTTAGTAAACATATCTTAAATATATCGATAAAACTAACCTATTACTAAATTGTGAGTATGTGTGTACGTATAACATATTTATATGTGGTGAAGAGTTATGTAAAATATCAGTTGTCGAAGTACCTTAATTACAGCCCAATAAATCTATATGGCAACTGAATTGCTTATAGTTGTGTCGGCACCAAGTCAAAAGGTTTCGGGACTAAATTATCAGGAAAATTGCTTTAGTTTTGTTCACGTAGAGCATAGGGATGTCCAGTAATTAACTGAGCTCCCTTTCTGTCTGATATTTAATGCGTAAACAGGTAGTCTTCCTCTATAGCTGGATAAGAGTTTCTCAGTTTATCAAACTATTCGGGACTAATTGAAGGAAATATTTCAAACGAGTAAGTAATCCAGGCAGTTTTGTTATCAAGTTATATACTTATAAACAGAATATCTATTCAGAACCCTTCAGAACATTTCCTCTCTGTAATCACCAGGCTATTATCCAAAGAGGATCTGATCTACTCTTGTTCACATCATTTCTCTTGTTGACTACAAGAAGTTAATCTTTGCATCAAAGTGCATCTACGCCATGGGAAAGATCACCTTAATATTTATAATTAAATATACTCTGATAATCGTTTGATGTTTCTAGCTACTGAATCCGGATTCACATTCACGGTCGACAGGTGTCAATTCAGGTCAATACTCCTCAATGATTTTGGAAAGAGCACACGAAGCGGCTATATTTGGTCATTCTTCAGTTCCTTTACCTTCCATTCTTGGTACAGATCCAGCTGAGGGCAAAGATAAACTAGTTTCTTCTGTGGATACAGTGAAGCAACTACTTCATCATTCGGTAATCTTCAGTAACAAAGATTATATTTCCTTGTTTTCTCACATGACGTGTCCTTTACTGTAGTCTTTCATGACTTTAAGTTCATTAATGCTAATAGATTTATCAATACTCAAAATTTAGATATACCTCAACAACATATCAGAATTAATACTTTGCAACCAAATAAAATCAAACTGACTACTTTTAAATTATGGCATTATGTTGTATCCACTCAGTAACCAACAACTGGATCCTAAGAATACAATTCTGTTTATCAGTGAAGTTGTAACACTCATGGTACATAAAATGAGATGGATATATAGTGATAATAACTAACACCGAAATCTATCTACCTACAGACTTGTATATGTTTATTCATACAAGATCATTTAAGTTTACAGAGTAAGGTGACTTACTTAAGCGCCTAATTTCAAAAGCTCTAGTGTTTGAAGGGCTAAATTACAAACTAAACCAGTAAACAGCTTGTAAATAACAGGAAAGTGCTTGTTATGTCCGATTGTTAACGAAATGTTCACTCTGGGATCCTAGAATTTTACCAAAATTACCTATTAGTCAACGAAACAAACGGAAATATACTGTTACATTAACGGTTGTGCAAATTCTTTGACGTTGAGTGACGTTTATTCATTGCGATTGAGAGAAGCATAAAGCATTTGTGCTGAATACTGAGAAAATCATTATTGGCGTTTCGAAATTTATCTTATTTTTTGTTAGGTTGGTATATCTTTTTTTCAAGAAATTACTAAAATTATTTTAGGAATCATTCCATTTTCGATTAAGCAGTTTACCAAGCAGAGCGAAATTCGTTTAGATTATTTCATCCGTTGGTTAGTTAACTAGTGAAAAATGCTTGTTTTTATCTTACTCCAAAGTATAAATGTATTGACTAATAAAAAGCTGAAATGATTGCGTTGGTGTTAAATTTTCTGAGCTGAATGGTTTGATCTCTCAAGCCTTGTCATTCAGTATAATGGCTTACATACTTCTAGTATCTTGCTTCTTTAAAAGCCACTTCTACAGTGTATTCTAAATTTATCTTAATAAACTATTGAAGATAAAAACCTTATATATATAACAAGTATATACCTTATCATGTCCCTTAGCTCATAGTTTATTCATTCATTTACCAAGTCCAAATTCGTGTACTTGACTTCACACTACACATTGTATTAGAGATAATGATCCTACTTAGTTACCTAAACTAAAGTGACTATAGTAGGGTTCAAACGTGGGATTTAATAGATGAATGTCGAACGCCTTAACCAATGAGCCAATGATCAACTTATTCATTAACTATATGACTTTTTTAATATTGTTCTTTTTCTAGTACATACATTGTCATCATTTAATTTATAGAGTAACATTTTAGTTACACAGTTATCGTTTCTTTTCTTTTGTGTAAATTTACAGCTGGATAAATCCGATCCTTCCACATGGGATGCTTGGTTGTTGAAACTTGCTGAATTTAAGGCACGTCGTGCAAATAAGATTTCATCTACCATAAACACAAATCAGAAAAAGAGAATTAATGGAATTGGATAATAAAGTATACTTTTCTTATAACTTACTAATGGTTAGATCTATTTAAATCATTATAGTTTTTATTTCCTGCGAATACAACATGTACTTTTTTAACGTATTCTTTTTATGAAATATTACTACGAATAAATAAATGTAAATCAATTGTAATAGTTTTGATTTTTTGTAACTCACCAGACTTGTTTTCAAAACTGTGAGGGATTAAACGCCGATGTCTGATTGTGTTTGGATAAAAAATAATGCAGCATAATTCTGAGCTATGCAGGTCACCATCAAAAATAACTCTTGATCCTATTTTTGTGCTTTTGTGTACTTACGAGCATGATGTGTTTGAAATATCCATGGAGTTTATTCTAACTCTAAAGTTCTAATCTATAAAGGGTAATGCTGGAATGAATTTACTCTTAACTATGGAAAATTTATAAGTAGAATGTGACATTATTTTGATTTGTGGAATTGGACTAGATCCCCAATCTGTAAATATTTTTTTACAGTCAGGATAATTCGCCAATAAGACATTAGGTGTCTCAATTCTTAATGTGAAAGAGTTTGATATTCTAGTAAAATCACTTCAGTCAGAACGTTTAAAAAAGAACACACCTCAAATTGGTAGTTTTTATCTGTTAAATTTTCATTTGGATTTTCCTATTACCTTAATAAATCATTCCTTTGGTCTATAGACTGATTTGAATTGAGTTCGTACCTGTTCCGTCTAACACAATGTGTTATTTAAAATGTTCACTCTATCTTACTTTCAGTTTGAAAAAAGGAGTGTGTTGCATTTTGTTTGACTGGTTTGAGTCCAAAAAATTTACTTGAAACGACTTTAGCAAATCATTCGAGAAACTAACGCTGCTAATCATGGATTCAAAGTACAGTTTGATGTCTTCAAAATATTTGTATACTGAAGATATATAAATTCTGGAAACTTTTCAGCACCACCTTAGTAGTGATACGTTATTGAGTGAATGTAGGAAACTGTAACTGTCAGTTGTATTTGGAATGTATAACTTAAGTTAAAATACCGTGAGAATGAACGTCATCTGTTCGCGTTCACAATATTACAATAAACAAGACTATAACACATCTAAGCGTAAATTATTTAAGTAAATCTCGCCACACTCTGAGTTGTCACTACTGAGTGTGGCATGAATAGTTAAAGAATTCGCATTACCAATAATCAACACTGCCTAGTCAAATGGAAATATATATAATTTGTTTAGTTAATTATTCTAGGTTATCTAGAGTTGTCCGTCATAACATAAATCTTTCTGTCTCATGAACTCTAAACCTAATTTTTCTTGAAGATTAATTTTATCGGTTCTGAAAGCTATGAATAATCAAAATTAGCGAATATTCATTTGATTCTAATGAAATAACTTAGATCTTTATTCTCATTTGAACCCAATAATTAAATGTTATTGGGACTGTATTAATGATCTTTTCTCTGTGGTCAACAAGTAATTAGCGAAACGCAACATATCAAAGCCTTATTCTAAGAAAGTAAAGTATTCTAAGACAACTTGTCAGAGAATATTCCTGAATATCATTTATATCATTATTTTATTTGAACACATAAATATTACTACAAGGGGGCACCATATATATATATGCGCCACACAAATTTCATTCTATTTGTGTGTGGGCTGTGATACTGCCCAGGTGCCCAGACCGAAGCAGGTGGTTTCCTTATGGGGTCACACCCCGAGCCTTTGACCTAAAGGTCTAACCCACAAGGCAGTGGAGCATCGTGAGGAGATGCAGTCTCATGGTAGCCGGTGACCAACGATTGGTTCATACGCCATTACTTCCCATAGGATACTGGAGCCCATGTACACCATTGGTTCGGAATCCGGTTAAAGTGCCGGACATTCTCTTTTCGTCCTCTGAATTTCGTAAACAATACTACCGCCACGAGAAGGCAGTGAGTAGGACTTCCCTCGCGTGACAATGTGAGAGCATTTCGAGAGGTAGGGTGGGCCCTTCCCACTCTTGGCCATACCAGGGCATTTGGGGGCATTCCTGAATATCATGGGTTAATATACATTTTTTGGTGTTTTGTTCTCTGAGCTGGATGGTTTGATCGTGGAGCTTTCATCGGAAGAAGTGAAGAAACTCGACAGGAAATAAGACAAACCATAGTACCGCTAACTCGGCGGAGGAAAGGAAACACTCAACTGACCTCACATCAACATAAAGCCTTAAAGAAACTCAGGACTAGAGAAGATATTGTCATAGTCCCAGCGGACAAAGAATGCACTACGGTGATTATGGACATGGAATAATATGTTAGGAAAGCCGAGGAACTGCTTGAGCATAAGAACGTATACAAATCAATGAACACATATCCAGTCAAAAGTTTAGACAACCAAATCTCAAGGACTTTAAACAAGCTTGTCAAAGCAAGATCAATCGGGAATGAAATCCAGTGGTTCAGTACTCCCTCGATTATACGGTAAGCCGAGAATACGTAAACCAATCATCCCACTACGTCCAATTGTATCACTTCCGAGAACCACAACATATAATTTGTCAAGAGAAAATTCACCGAGATCGAAACATTCAGTGGTTTCATCCAACCACTCCATCAATTCTCCCATACAATTCCCGGATAAGCCTAAGGACATTCAAATCAACAATTTAGAACTGATGATATCCGTCGCTGTAATAGCTTTACTCACCTCAGTTGAACCAAGCTTAGCAAAGGAAACTATCCCTGCTTTCCACCAACGACACAAATCTGCCAAAGTACACGAAGCTCCAAAGTCAAAGTTTACTAAAACTCATAGATTTATGCTCAACAACAAACCTCTAATTCAACAACTAAATCTACGGACAAACGAAAGGAAAACCGATGGGATCACCAATATCAGGACATACTGTAGAAGCAGCGATGAATAGACTGGAAACCTCGATCTTACCAGTGATCAAGCCAATAATTTGGATTCGTTATGTGGACGACACATTCGTCATCGTCAAAAAGGACGAGCTGGGAAACACCTTCAAACTGATCAACGTCTTCGATGACATAAAGTTCACGATAAAACAGGAACCAAACAAAAAACTATCATTCTTGAATGTGTTAATCATCAGAACCGACACAGGAAAACTAGAGACTCAAGTTTATCTGAAGCCAACACACACAGATCAAATTCTCAATTCCAGTAGCAACAACCCAAGAACTCACGAAATCATCTGCGTACAAACTTTATTCAAGAACACGGGGACACACTTGCAACGCGAAAAAATAAAAAATACCTGATTTCCACCTTTCAGAAGAACGGCTATCGAATCAATTTCGTCGAAAAATATCAGCCAAAGGCATCATCAGAAACAAAGTCAAGTACAGAAACTAACAAACAGATCATCTTACCATATACAAAAGGCATATTAGAAATTACAACGAGATTGTTGAAGTTTTTTGGAATAGATGTAGCAGACAACCAACGAAATTACTTCAATCAATCCTATTGAAACCAAAGGATGAAATGACGATAGAAGAAAAACCGAACATCTACAAAATAAATTGTTCCAACTGCGAAATACACTACATCGGACGAAGTGTATGTTCCCTTTATCTTCGCCTGCATGAACATCAATTCGTGGTCAAACGCCATGACGTATCCTCGCTTACATCAATGCATGTGGACACACATCCGACTGGAAGAATGTAGAGATCTTGTATAGAGGCAATTCTAAAAACACTAGAGAATTTTTAGAAGCTTGGCACTCAGGTTAATCAGCAATCAACAAACACATTTAAATCGACCGAATTTATCAACCAATCGGAAAAATTATGAACAAATATAGAACCAAAAATCAAACCAATGGGAGGTACAACCAAAATAAAGAAGTAAACAATGACAGACTAAAGGTCAACAAGGACCAATCAACATCGAGGTCTACTGGGCAAGCTGTCAGCCATATGTAGAGAAATTTGAACACTTCACTTCTACTTGAAGTTCGTGCTGATGATGTCGTTCAGAAGAACAATGAAAGCACCACAAACAAATCATCCAGCTCAGAGAACAAAACACCAAAATCACCCACATGAGCTACAAATCTTCATCTCAAATTTATGTACATATAATTCCTCACTCAAACATTCAAAGTTACTACGACGAAATAATTGTATCTATATTACTCAATTTCTTCAACGAATTAGATTTCAGGAAGCAAAATGACTAACTTGACGAATATTTATTAGGAAATTAATGTTATTTGTTTAATCAGAACAATATAACTCTGAATAGTTACTTGTTAGTCAATATATGAATAAGCCAAGAAAAAATTTCACAAGTAACTAACATTCAGTTACACTTCCCCTTGTAACGACGATGTCCCCATAAAATATTGTCTAACATGGACCCCAGATTGTAGACATCAGTTTATATGTATATTATTTAAATTACTGAAAGATGCTAAAACTGTTTTAACTGAACAGTACATTTACATAAGGCATAACCACCTGTATTTGTGTTTTAAAGTACATTCAAAAAATCGTTATATTTAGTGGAAGTCATCAAATAACTGATCACGTGATAGGGTCATTCGTAAAATAAGAGACATAAGAAAAGAAACACTTGATCTATTCTTATTGGTTTGTTAGACATTTTCGATAGTATATTTATGAAACTATAGAGACAAAAGTTTTTAAAGAAGTGATTTTTCCACTACGTGAACGTGTATTTCAACGTTTTTCACTTAGTTTTACATGTTTCTCTTCATTTTACACTATGACGGATTCTTCTTCAAATGTTTTCAATAATTTCGATAATAAACCTGAGTTCCTAACACTCATAAAATCGATTATAAAGAAGGATGATGCAAATCGATTGCTAGCAGTATTAAATAATCTTAGTCAAGATACCGCTACTTTAAATATCACTGATAATAATAAATGTAACGAAATAGAAAACAAACTGTTTGATTTTGAGCATACAGTTCTTGGATATGAAAACTTATTGCATGTAAGTCCCTTTTTCGATAGATATTTGTTAGGTTTTTTCTTTCATTTTTTTTAACTGAGTATCGTGCAATGATAAAACTTTGCTATCATTTGTTAAATAGGATTACAGAAAGATATTTTTATGTAACTATTATATGGGGACGACCCCATATTGGAGTCGAAATAACCTCTGTCTCTTCCCTCAACTACTGTTATTAATCACCAACTAGTACTTTAGTCTTTCATAGTTCCTAATGTATCAAATAATTTCATATCTGTACTCCATCGAGAACCTAGAAGGAAATCCTAAGAACCGACAAGTACATATATGACGAGGCGAAAAAACAAAATGAAATTCGTTTGATCTTTCATTTAAAGAAGAAGATACAGCAATCTTAATATCACCTTATGATTTTGATGTAACTTATCATTCAATAAACAGTGTCTGTTTATAAATAAGAAGTATTGCATACTAGACAAAGTGAAACCTATTGGACCATGGTGGTTTAAAACAGTTTGTCATTTTTCTAAAAACTTATGATCGGTAATTCAATTTTAATATTGTCATAATATCGCTACCTTACTTCATTTATCTCAGAGCAAATATATTCACCTTAAAGAGTTTCTTTCTAAGTTGTTCTCAAAGCTATATACAGTTTTCCAGAAAATTCATCGTTGCCTACAAAATTTTTATCAGTACACTTAAGTGTTTATTATTCAGTTTACCGCAAATAAACTGATTACCATGACAAATTACTATAAACAAAGTAATTTAAAACAAAAACTAGTTGACTAACGTATTATATATATATATATATATATATATATATATATATATATATATATATATATATATATAGGAAGTAGTCATTTGCAGTGTTTCACACAATCATTTTCACTCTATGATCACGAAATAAGATTTTTCCCAATGATTTTATGGGTCTTGACTTTCATAAACAAGTTCTCTCACTACTCTTTTTACGTGATACAAAATACAAGTCATTCACTTTTGGACTTTCCACAGAAAACCGAAACACACTCTTGATTTTGATCGGTTCATTTCTATTATTATAGCTATACCAGTATTTCTTTTTACTGAGAAAGATTCAATGCAAGTATATGATAAGATTATGACTTTCGTTTCACATGTGATTGATAATGTAGACAAGTTTCACAATATAGCAACTGATAGTTTCAATGAAATTCACTTGTTCATATATCCTAAATGAATCTTTTTAACAAATCGATTTTGGTACTTTTATAAGTAAAACTGATTGATTGATGTTTTTATTTTATCATAAATGGTTTATAGTTGTTTAGAAAAAGAATTTTTAATTCACTGTATTGAATTTTGTTATAACTATTAACTCATCTGAGAATTTAACTTTTTCAGCCTCTCGGGTTCCGTAAACACAAGTATACACCATTTAATAATAAAACAAAATTCTCATAGTAATGTGGATTTTTTTTGTTCCATTAATATTGATAATGAAAGTGTATATTATCTCTTCTTTTATGATCGATTTCATATTTATTGATTTTATTTGACCTTAAACATATATATTTCTTGATTTGGTTAAGTATACAGCTTACCACGTAATAGATATTCAGCAATCACAATTAAAATTCACTGACTTACTTTTACCACTTACCGGTAAAAAATGAATTCTGGTTTAGACCACCGCGGTAAAATCTGGGATTAGCTAAACCTGTAACATTAAAAACTAATTATATAATCGTTTAACCCTCTCAGTTTGATTATCGAGAAATTTTGTTTTGTATCAATAGATCGTTTAGTTTAAACGTTAGTAAAACTAGACTTTAATGTCTGTTATTGGTACTACTACCAATTTTAGTCTGGTTAACATTTTAGTTCGACTATTTTGGTGAATAAATTAAACTACATTGAAACTTTTTAAGGATTGCATATGAATATACACTTTGGTGTGGGATAATGGATCTTGTATACATTTACTTCAAGGATGTATAAGTAGTGCAGATTTTTATAGAAGTTTTAAAAAGATTAAACTATATAATTGTTGACAATGTTTCGTTTAACAATAATTTTCTTTTCTATATGTTTAACAATGTAATATATGCTACACCTTGATACAATTGTGATAGTCAGCTCTAATATCCAATTAACCAAATTTTGTTGATATTCAAGGAAGTGTTTTAATCATGTATGAAATTATAGACTCGGTCATCTTTCGTGCTTCTATAGTCACATATATAAAAAGCCGATCAACATTACATGTTTTTGAAAGCTCCAGTGAATTCATTGTAGTTTACATGTTCTTGGAAAATTGTTAAAGGTGTTCGTTACAGACTAATCTCATTTGGGCTGTCACTAAAAATGAGAAAAGATTGGGCTACTGTTTCATCATAGTATGGGGTTGCTCAGTAATATATAGTCACGACCTTGCCATAGATCGGATTCAAGATCTGGACATCTAGTGGCAAACGCTTAGACAGTCAAACCACTGGATTTACGTTCAATGCTACAGGTTTTGAACTTCAATAAATATGCAATAAAGCGAGATCATTAAAGGGATCTGAAGACAATTTAGCTATTTACGAACTCCATGAGCTATAATTTTTCACTGAAAATTCAGGAGCTTATCCAAAATTCAGTTACTATTAAAATGAGTGTCGTAGCGTAGAGGAGTCCTATATTAGGACAAAACAACTGGCCAACGCCCTCTGGTTTTCAGTAACACTACGACTGAGATTAGTCTACGATGAATACCTTCTACAAATCTCCACCAAACCACCTCATATAGACTAAGAAAAAGGTAAATAATAGCCATAAAATTACATACAAAATCTAACCATACTATGAAATTCTTTGTTTTCAGCTTGCAGTTTTATATCATGCTTCCGCTTGTATTCAAATCTTAATCAATCCACCATATATGTGGAGTCCATATTACGTGAATAAAAATGGGGAAAGTGCTATGCAACTAGCTGAACAACAAGGATGTTTTAAATTGCAATATATAATGGCAGCAAATTCACCAGAAAATTTTTTTGTTACTCCTGAATTCTCACTCCGATCAGTTTCGTCGCTTTTAATTTATCCACAAGCATTTATTACAGAACCATTTTCTTATAGTGAGGTAAGTAGTAAATTATTTTAATCAATGCATTTCAGTATATTTGTTTTTATTCTCCACTTATTCAAAAATTTAGATAATGAAAATAGATTACAATAGTTGAAATCATGAGTCAATTGAAGCTAGACCACCATGGAAAACCTGGAAGCACTAAACGGCCGTTTCGTCCTAGTATGGGACTCCTCAGAAGGGCACATCCACGAGCCCACCTCTAGAGATTCGAACCTAGAGCCTATCAGTCTCGCGCGAGAGTACTTAACCACTAGACCACTGAGCCGGCATTCAACTTCAACTAATCCAGGGAATTGAGCGACACATCCACCATTGTCTTCAGTGGGCTGATATCTCACAGCAGACCTGGTTGAACTCCACTGGACACTGCTTCTCACTAGAACATGATTTTAACTACTGAAATTACTAAAATCTCCACAAAACCCCTTCTGAAAATAGATTAGTTTGTTTAGAATTAAATTTGTAAATTTTCGAAAATTATAATAATTTTTATTCCATTTTCTTAACAGGTTATTGATAATATAAAAAAATAAATAGATGAGATGAATGGTTAACCGTCAAGTTCTTAATTAACAATTAAATTGTTCGATATATACTACGTTTTAATGAAAAGTCTCAAATACTTATTTGATCCTTTCTGGCAAATATAATACAACAATAATAATAATAAATTGTGTCACATCGGTAATATTTACTTTATTATTCAGCATAAAAAGTAACTTTTTCACTGGTCAAATTTTAATGGCAAATTACGAAAGTCAACCGGGTCTGTTGTGAGATAGTAACTCACTGAAGACATTGGTGGATATGTTGCTCAATTCCCTGGATTAGTTGAAGTTGAATGCCGGCTCAGTGGTCTAGTGGTTAAGTACTCTCGCGCGAGACTGATAGGCTCTAGGTTCGAATCTCTAGAGGTGGGCTCGTGGATGTGCCCTTCTGAGGAGTCCCATACTAGGACGAAACGGCCGTTTAGTGCTTCCAGGTTTTCCATGGTGGTCTAGCTTCAATTGACTCATGATCTCAACTATTGGGACTATAATTGTATTGAGGTACTACTCAATGTTTTATTAGTTAAGTCATTCCTAAACGTATTGGTTAATAAACACCGTTATCTACTTTATCCAGGTTTATCTTTCCCTTCAGGCTGTATGAACGTATGATCTGAAAATAATAATTTAAAATCCATTCCATACATATCTGTCACTGGATCTGTTCAAAAGAGCTACTAATTAAAACCACTGATTCTGCCGTATTTTTTATTTCACAAAGAACATCCAGCAGAATTGTGGTTATGAGCTACTAACAATTTAATAAAACCCCTTTGAGTTACTTGTTCCCATAATGATTCACGGAGTTTGTCTCACTTTTATCACAAACAATATCGTTTATATTGGATGTGTACTCTATCAATTTATGTACAACTTTGAAATAAGTTTGAGAATTATGAATTATATAAGTTTAATAGAACAGAACAGGATTCGATCATAGGTGTCTACGAAGCGTTGCTCGTGTATTTTGAGAACGTGGAGTAAGCAATGCTTGGATTAAGAATATAGTATTAGGCAAAGATAGACAATCGGTTGAAAGTAGTGAATCTTTATCAACAGAAGTGGGTGGAATATGTGTGACGTATGTTCAACCACCCCCTACCTCTACGGGCAATGTTTTCTGGTGCAGGAGCAGGCTGGAAGAAAGCTAGGAGCGGACAAAACAGAACATGCCATCAGTTCATGAAGTCACTGATAATTCTACTAGGCCATGTTAATAAATACAGACTATCTGGTTGAGGTCAGCATGATTATCGTAACTATTAGTTAGAGACTTTGAATTACATGGCTCAAAATCGTTTGCAATTGTGCAGGTGCATCTATTTTTTGTCTTCTCTCAAATACTGAGGTTGTAAATTCCTCATGACATTTCTTTGTATTTTTATTTCACTAATTCATATTTTCTTGAATCGTATCTTCGATGTCTTGTCTTTTTAGTCACCAGTGATATTGTCACTACCTCTACTAATCTGGGATTTGGCCTAACAATATTTCTATGTTAATAGGGAATGGCAACTTGAACTGGAGTACATACATACAGATTCTATTTTGTGACTGACCGAGAACAGAATACCTGTTTACTTGGTGAAATTTTGAGTTTTAATCACTTTTTTTTAAAATTTAATAGCTTTTCAATTGGAGTAATTATAATGTTATGCCTGGTAGTGCAGTTGAATACCTGAACTATAGAATAATTGGTCAATATAGATCAGTTCATAATTTATCATTGCTTTTTGAATTGATAATTGCAACTCCAGAAATTTGTCCTACAATATTATCAGATATAAATGAAATACGTAAAATATTAAATGATATTAAGAAATATTATGAAAATTATAATAGAACATTAGATGATAAATGCCGATATGCTATGGAACTGCATTTTTTAACTATTTTTTCTGAACATATGACAATAACTCATAAATGGGAAGAAATATGGAATAGATTATTTTATACGTGGTTATTTTATCGTACAGTAATTAAAAATAAAAAGAATATCAAATGGAATGACATAAATACTTACATGTACATTCAACAACCATTTGAATTACAAGCTATTTGTCGTATTTCATTGAGAAGATATGCAGTAAAACAAACAGGTATTTTGAAAAAAAAATATTACTACCGGTATTTCTCATTAAAGTGATATTTAATGATTAGGATACCGTTTATATAAAAGTGAATCTATCTTAGAAATTATAATCTTTTCAACTAACTCTGAGTTTTAAAAAAATGGATATTAGTCATTATCTAGTAGTTGATTTTCATCACTGATTAACCTCAATTATAGTACTTTTAACAAACAAGAAGCAATAGATAGTCCTTTCATCTTAGTGTGGAATTCCATAGCTGCGTGCGACTATGATCCTGTCAATTGTTGAACTCAAAACTTCCATGTCTGACTGTAACCGTCTAACCTGTAGACCACTAAATTGGGAACTCAATGCACCAAATTTCATACTTCAGTCAATTCGTCATTTGGCAAATTCACTACCCAGTATCATTAGTGGCAACTGTCTCACTCCCAACATTACCAATCAATATCCTTTAATCAATACTTTTTTCTTATGTATGTAGATTTGGACATTTAATCTTAACTTACTGGTCATTGAAATTATACTCCCCGCTAATAAAATGCCCTGGACAAAATCATTTCTATTTGCCTCTATGTGAAGTTGTACAAGTTCTTATATTTTAATTAATATCAAAATGTTGTTGAACGAAACACCGACTCAGTAGACAATTACGGCTAAATTGCAATAATAATGTCACTCCTTTAAATTTTACTTCCTAATCATGTTGGATACAACAAGTTAATTGGCAATTACTGAAGAAAATTTATCGTTATCAGTCTAAGAAGCATGTGTCCTAACGCTACTTATTGTAGTGCTTCAAATAAATCACTTTCCTTAACGAGAATTTTTGTAGTTTATTATCTGCTTGATAAACTTGGTACAACAGGACGCTCAAAAATACCCCATAGAAAACGGAACAACAACAGTGTGAGAAAATATAAGCCACAAAAGTCTTATAATAAATCAAATATATAAACAAACGAGAATAGTGCTTATTAAAATAGACAATTCAACTAACAAAATATTCAAAGCAGGTTTCATCCAGGTAAAAAAGTCCATTTTACGTTTTTGAAGAATGTAGTGAAAAACAAAATCATGATCTTCACTGACTACTATTTTGAGATGTTTGAATAATGTTCCAGGTCGCTGATTTGGACCAACTTTCAGGGTCTATCCAAACTGTCATAGTAAAACAACAGGTCTAAAACTAACACAGCTATATTTCATGCCGCAAACTGGTCACTTTATATGATATTAGAACATAAGCGTTAAATTCATCATGATATATACCCTAATGAATATGATTGATTTGAACAATCAGTTGTGTCACAAAACAGGTCTTAGGTATTTCTATGTGATACATATTTCTTAACGGCAGAATTCGGAAGCTGTTGACACCAATAGGTGATGTCCACTAACTAGATCAAAGCAATCCATCTAACAGACATAACCAGAGATAGATGGTGGCTAGCATTTTGATCTAGCATGTGCGTTTCGTCTTATTTGGGACTCGAACCCAGGTCCATTCGCTTCGAACACCATCGCCTTATTTACTTAGCTTATCCATCTTTGCTTATAATGCTTGTAACGCAAAGTAATATAGATGCAATCCGTACAGAATACACTTATGTTAATGAAAAACTGATTAATTACAGTCCTAAACATGAATGGGAAAATTCAAACAATCAATACTAAAATGAATTATCTAGTTTATTATGCGTGTGTTTTGATTGATGTATTCAATAGAATCGACTCAAACAGACGGAAAGAAAATTTTGAATCTATGCACAGTCGTCTAACGCCCAAATATCATAAAGTCAAGTCAAATAATATCAACGTTCATACATTTTTAGTAAAACACTTTGACAAAAATTTCTCGAGTTCAACAATTTTGAGCACTGTAGCCAATCATTTATACAGTGCATAAACAGTTTCTTTGTTTACTTTTGTTTATTGAATTTACTTCAAATTATAAGTTTGAACTTATATATTTTGATCCCAACAGCGTAATAACTTTATAGGCATACTGTAAAGGTGGTGTTTCGATACACTAATGTTCGTTGTTCCTTGATTTTTCGAATGTGACATCTGTTAGCACTTTCTTATTTTGAAAGCATGCTTATATTATTAAAGAGCCCTAAATGAACTAAATTAACCAAAAATGTAGTAACAATAGATAGATAAAGGGCAATTTGGTAAACATAATAAACAACCCCAGCTACTATGAAACTATTCCTTCAAGTTTAGATGAAGGTTCGTACAAATTTATATAACAATCATAGTTCTCAGAAACTTCTTCATTATATAGATGAGTTTTAGTTGACTAAATATACTTTTTCGATAACGTGTATAAAAATCCTGAAATGTAGTGGAAATAAAATATGCATATTTAGTTCGCTTTTCGTGAAAATAACCGTTGTTTAAAAACAAAAACAACTACGTTTTCTCTACCCACCCTTTGCTTCATACAATTTTAAGATTGTTTCATTTCCGTCTTTTCAAACTAGATTTCCAAGGACGAATTTCATTAGACTTGATATAATAACCATTTCAACATACAGCTTTCATTGTTTTTGTCCTCTCCCTATGTACTTACATAAAATTTGCGATTTCATCTTAGGCATATTTTTTTACCAATCATACGTAGATTAACAGTTATTAGCTATTATTCAGAGGTATGAATATTTATACTATATACAAATACTTTTACGCTTTCCTACAGTTACATCTTGTAAACCGATTTCTACCAATTCTGACTACGTATTCGTCATTTTAGATTGATAACTACATATTTGTCTTTATAAAAATGTGAACCAGTTCGTGAGTTGTTACACTCCTTGACTTCCAAGTGCTGATTCATATTTACAAGGATAGATTTTTTGTATAAAAATCACCATTATGGATACAAAACCTGACAATATTCGAACACAGCTGGTCTAAAAAACCTAAAATGAACATCAATGTTAGTTGATGAGAAATTGTGGTCAAATTACAAATTCATCTTTGCTCATGACTATAGTTGCTTCTCATTATTTTAAGATATCTGCATAATGATAATTTAATATATTGTAAGGAAACAAATGTTAATGAACAACTACAGCAGCGAGTCAATTTATACTTTTTTTCAAGAACAAATCATATTCACTATTGCACTTATGTAGAATAATTTGGACTAAGTAATATCTCAAATATATGACATTGATGTGTGAAAGTAAATTTTGCTAGGATTATTCATCAAGTTGTACATGTGCTGTCATAATATATAAATTATTTTCTTTTTGAAAAATTGCTTTCATCAGGTGTCAACTACGCTTATTTCGTTAAACATTTGGACTTACCAATACACTTGGAAAATTACCTACTCTATAGTGAATACTGGTATCTTTGAAAATTCAGAAACCAAAGTCATACTAACACATAAGAAATTATATTTACAGATATCCTTGAATTTTGTACATGTTTCATACTGACATACACAATGTAAATACCGATTAATCTCTAAAGTAACATTCATGAAGGGTTATTTTTTAAGCAAACTAATGCATTACTACTAATTTTAAACCACATGTTGGTAAGCTACTCAATTCTGTTTTAAAGACGTAACAGCCTGAATTCGTGTTTGAATAAATTTCAATAAACTGTCAAAGTAAAGGATATCCAAAGCCCGCTTCGACAGTTTGAATAAATGTTTGTCAGAACCCCTAATGTAAAATCAGTCACAAAATTGCGACCAGAATAATTCACTCGAACTGAAGAAATCATAAAACTACCTAACTGATTCTAAAAGCTGTGGCGACTTTTCGTGTTAGGTTAAATCAAAATATGATAGTAAAACTGTTTGAAATAACTGCTAATAGTTATCCTTCAAAAATCACTATCACCTGGGACGGGACTGGAAATCCATGATTATTGAACAGTTCTTACAGTCAGAATTTATGGGCCAACACATGGGAAAATTTTCCAATACTGATAATTGTATTAGTTCATAATGGGAATGAAGCTTAATTAAGTTCTTATCCGATGATCAACAACACTTCGACGATATATCAGCCTAAACTGCCTTACAAATTATATAAACGAACTCTAATTTGCTGCTATCAATGTTTTATAAGTAGCCAATAGTTAACATTTACTAGTCGAATGCTATTTTGAACGATATCACTCAATGAATCTCCACACTACTAACAGTAAAATATTTTAATGAATGATATAAATTATTCTTGTATTCAAAATCTTAAATTTGTAAGGAAATTCATTTTGAAATAAATGATATATTCTTTGACTATTACTTAGTCCTAGGAGTCTCCTAGCTAATGTTAAGCTTTTTCTATCAATACAGTTGATTAGGTTATTGTCCGTTTGACGGTTAACATGAAGTTACACCGTATACTGTTTGATGAACAAAATTTCAAACTAAGATCTAATCAAATTTTCGAAAGATAATACTAAATAAAAATAAAGTAATTTTAGGAAATCGGTCAGTTAATAACAACGTAGAACTTCGTACGTACGTACATCAGTTCGAGTTGCCATACCACATTAGCACAGAGATGCAGTTATCAGTGGTAAAGGTAGAAAGAGTATAAGCAGTAATCGGAAAATGTAAATTTATTAATCAATATTAAAAAAATATAGCGGTGAAGAACAGAAAATTTTATGATCTGAAACAAACAAATTAAAAATAAAATGATATTTGTGGTTACAATTATGACTGATATGAAGCATAAAAACAGGATAATTAATAGAATTTTTACAACTCTATATTTTCATAAAATATATTGTTAATCATAGTATCTGTTATTTGATTGCGATGAAATTGGTTTCCTTTAACGACTTTGACTTGAGATCTATCCAAATCCGGCCATAAATCACAATAGGACAAGAAAGCACGTAGTTTTGCTGGAATAGGCAACTTTTTAATAAGACTAGCATAATTATAATATTTCACAGAGTTGGATTTTTTATAGGCTTGTCTACGAACGTCTAAAATGAGAAGAGTAATTATAATGGAAATATGCTTTAAAAGAATAACAACGAAAATATGTTCTTATGAAATGTTAACAAACTAGTTGGAGAGTAAGTTAGTAAACTTACTACTATTGTAGGTGGTTACAAATTCGATTTCCAGGTAAATAGATGAATCACTTTAAAATATACTAGTCAGTCTACGGAATTGACTTCATAAAAAATCATCATAGTCAATAATTTTCCGAAAAAAATTGTTAAATGTTTCACAAGGTTAAATATCTATTGAATATATGCTCTATAGCTAGAAATACCTGTTTAATTGATTGTACTTTCAATCCATCAGTGTGAGATATGCTCTGAATGATTATAAGTAAAAATAGTTCACCTCTTAACAATTACTAAAATAACTTTAGATGTACATAAATTATAAAAACCAGGGAATTTTTTAACAGACTATCCTATTTGGTATCTCTGAATTCAAATTCAGCAACCAACCCTCTCGATTCAAACGATCTATAAACTTAAGGGTATCAGTGAGGCTTTTTCCATGATCATGAGCACGTTTTAGGAAAAACTTAGCAGTGTTTTTAATTTGTCTTTATTCATGCATATTTCCATTAAAAACATTATTAAAAAGCTTACCTCCTAATAGCTGGTTTTATAAGACACTATTTATTCTGATGCACAAAGGTAATGCATTTCGGTCGAGAGTAAGGACTGCTAGAGTGACCAACTGCGTAAGAAATTTTTTAATCCTCATGATGCCTTTTCAATACAGAAACGGGAAAAGTAGTATGTTTGGGTCAAAATGTGAATTTTGTTTATCCAGTTAAGAAGACTTCCTGTTATACCAGTGTAGTGGACGCTAATCACGGGGTTGCTTGTAAGTAACATGTAGCTGAAGTGGTATTGAAGTTGCAACGACTGTCAGACAGAGTGAACAGTTTCATTAGATCGAAAGCACAGCGATGGCAGAACACTCTGAGACCAGACGAGAAGTCAGTTCAGATGGCAGAATACACCAAGATGCGAATGGACGATTGAAGGCTATGTATATGCATTATGTAAATGCCTTGTAACTTCTCACAACAAATATACCTTCTTTCAGCCTATTGCCTTCATACGCTAAGAATAATGATATAATCTTTGATTGTTTATTGACAATATCCCATACAAATAAGGAACATACAACCTTATCCTTAACTTGTGATATATCTTACTGTAACTGACAACTTTAATATAAATAAATTTAGGAACATATTACGGCATAAAACAACTTGCATTATTATTTTATTTGAACACATACATATCGGTACAAGAGTGCGCCAATATATATGCGCCACACAAAACAATGAGAATTTAAAGAGAAGGAAAAAGAAAAAGGTAAGGAGGGTAAAAAAGAACAATAAGGAAGAGATTGGTGTAACGTAGTGTAAAAATAATAGTGGAAATAATGGGGGAACGGAAAGGTACAATCAGAAGAAATCCTCCAGTTAAGGAAGATACAACCATTTTTATGAAGAAAGTAAAAGAAGGTTACAGCAGGATCGCCACTGGCTTCTATTCTGAGTCTTATCTGATAACGTCACGAAGGCGCCAAAGGTGGCCCAGATTGGCATAAGCCGCTCTGGCTTTCACTATACGTGCATTGATCTCATCACTCACACCCCCACCAGCACTTATGCAGCTACCCAGATACACGAACTTCTCGACTATTTCTATCTGCTCACCATCCAGGGTGAGTACAGGATTAGAATCCTGCCAGTCTTGTAGAAGTACTTTGCATTTCGAAGGTGCAAAGCACATACCATACCTACGGACACTGATTGCCAACTGATTAAGTGCGGATTGCATGCCTTGTGCATTATCGCACAGTAGGACAATGTCATCCGCATACTCAAGGTCGAGAAGTCTTTCTCCAGGCAACAGATCCACACCACCATTACTTACATTCATCAGAGCTGTTTCCAGAATGTCATCGATGGCAAAGTTGAAGAGGAATGGTGAGATTGGGCAACCCTGCCTAACCCCACTGCTCGAATGGAACAATGGAGAGAGGTGGTTGTATGCCCTCACTCTACCTGAGGTGTTTGTATATAGGGCCTTTAGGATGTTAATAAACTTCTCAGGCACACCCTTCTTCAATAGACAATCCCAGAGAACAGTCCTGTACAACGAATCGAAGGCAGCCCTGATGTCAAGAAACACTACGATTGTTGGCCTTTGATAAGTATGGCGGTGTTCTAACATTTGGCGGAGGGTGAAGATATGATCAATACATCCTCGACCAGAACGAAACCCAGCCTGCTCCTCGCGAGTCAATCTTTCTCGGGTTTTGAACAACCTACGAAGTATGACGGAAGCCAATAGCTTGGACGCAATCGGAAGTAGACTTATCCCCCGATAGTTGTTACAGGAACGACGTGAACCCTTTTTAAAGATAGGGACAACTATCGACTCATTCCCTGACGTTGGTACACTCTCTAGTTCCCAAACCTTTGTAAACAACGTCGTCAATTCCTTAGTCAAAAAGTCACCACCATCTTTAAAAAGAGCCGGAGGTAAGTCATCTGGGCCAGGTGATTTGTAACGCTTCAAGAGTTGGAGTTCCTTGCGGACTTCCGCCTCATTTGGTGGATCAGTCGTCACCGGCCATGGAGGGCAGGACAGTCTGACCGATGTTGCCGGAGCAGCAGGCCAGTTGAACTGCCCTTCGAAAAATTCTGCCCATCGTCCAAGACGTCGATGGGTGTTAGTGATTGGCATCCCATCATCCTCGCAGATTATTTCACTCACACCAGACTTCTTGCTGCCAGTGGCTCGGATGAGTGGGAAGAGCTTCCGGTAGTTACCAGATGCAGCTGCTGCTTCCAGCTCATTAGCACGCTCCAACCATCAGGCTTCTCGGTCCTTACGCAAGCTTTGCCTAATTTCCTCACGTAACATCCTTCGTTTATGGTCAAACTCACGGTCACCCGGAGTAGACCGACGGGCTTAAATGAGTTGTAAGGAACCTGCAGAAATCCAGTGCTTATAAGCGGGACGTTTCGCGAACCCACAACTGACTGTACCCGCCATTTTCATGGCGTCATGCAATTGCAACCAATGCTCATCTATACTTTTCGGTGGAGTGGTAGCTAGCCTAGAGGCTAGCTCGGTTCGATACTTACTTGCAACAGAAGTTGCAACCGGCTTGCTAACATCAATCCGTTGATGGCGGTCACTTCGTTGGCCACTGAAAAGTAAGGCAAGATTGGCGCAGACCAAGGCATGGTCAGAGTCTAGGTAGTACTCCAAAAGGAGCGTCAGTCTTGTACACAACCACGCCAGCGGTAGCTGATCGCGATGTGATCAATCTGAGTCCAGGCTTGAGATGCAGAAGGGGGACGCCAGGTGGCACATCGGCGATGACTGCGCCGA